GTAGGCTGTATGTCTATGACTCCTTGACCTGATCTAAGATATCCTGGGATTGTCTGCTATAGAGAAATTAAACAAAACAAAACAAAACAAAACAAAAAAGAGAAGCCAGTAGATGCCTGCAGCGCTTCTTGTAGTGCAAATAAAAGATACAGCAGTAACTGATTGAGTCTCTGACTTCTGTCCCAAAAAACATTTTCAGCACTTTAGGGCTTTAATAAACTATTCAACTAGCACATTGGCAGTGAGGCAGACAAACTGATTGGGTCCCTGAGAAAGGTGGGGCGGAAGAAGCTCCCTGCCCCTGGAAAGGACAAGAATGGGGCAGCCAGCCCTCAGCACCTTTCAGACTGCACGACAATCCGTGGTCAGCCCTCAGAGCTTACTGGAGCATGCCATTTGGTGCTCTGGCACTGATTTAAAGGGTCTGGGGCTCCAACTACTGCAGCTACTACAATAGCATTTGCTGGGACACCCCCCCACACTTTGGAATTGCTAGGCCTGGAACAGTTACTCCCTTCACCCACACCCCTTTCGGTGGGCCTGGCTATTGGTCTGAGGATGACAGACCAAGCATGATCAAACCTTTAAGAGGGATGAGACATAAAGTTTGTCCCCTGATCAGTGATCAATTCTGAGGGAAAAACTATTTTAGAAAAGATGTGCAGGTGCTCCCATGTGAAGTAAGTTCCAAAAGTAAACAGTCTGAGTACTATGTGGCGTAGTCAACTAGTAGTAAAATACATTTGTGGCCCCAAGAACTTTTCTCAAGGGGCCCTGTGATGTCATTCCCCACCATTTTAAGTGAGATTGTTGTGAGGTGGAGAGGAATCAAGGAACCCCAGTCTTGTCCCTTGTCTTGTACCTTTTCGCAGTCTGGGCAGGACAAATGAAAATCTGCTACTTCCCAAAACATTCCCAGCAAAAGGAACCAGATGGGTCTGGCCCACAAAAGCTCATCATCTACTAAACCATCTTGTTAGTCTTTAAAGTGCTACATAGTCCTGTATTTTGTTTCAGCTACACCAGACTAACACGGCTACAGTTCTATCAGTAATCTTTCAAGCATCTTTGCTTTTCCCAAATGTCTGGCCATCGGGACAAAGAGTACTAATCTCAACAGTTCTCGCTGAGCAAGCTTCGGAAACTAGAACTGGATTCTGGCTCTTTCATATGAGGTTGTTACTCCACCCAGTAAATAGTTTCATTGCATAATTCAAAATGAGGAAATTGTGGGTGGAGTGTTCCAAGGTAACTTCCCCATAGATTACAGCTACCTGGCTGAAGCATTCTTGGAAGGCCCAAGCAGTGGTAAGATCAAAAATGTCATCTGGAGCAGGGGCCCTACTGAGCTACCTGCCCCACTCCTTGGCCTCCGGGGAGAAGACATGCATCTGACGAAGTGGGTCTTTCCCCACGAAAGCTTATGCTCCAGCACTTTGGTTAGTCTATAAGGTGCCACAGGACTCCTCGCCACATCTGGAGCAGGGTTTGCCATCAGCAAAATTGGGTTGCTAGAATGTTTTAAAGGATCACACAGCAGCTCTTGTCCCACGGGACTGCTAGGGTTGCCCCTCTGATCTGGGCACTGCAACCTCTGAGGTCTTACCACCACCCAGATTTGGTCCAGGCATTGTGATGACAAGATTCCAGATAGACCAAATTTGAGTGAGAGGTACTGCAACCCATGTGCCAGGTCACAACTTCATTCACACAAATTTGGTCCAATAGGGGAGCATAGTGATCAGAGGTGGCTGCTCACTGACCCCGAGGGGGAAGAACCCCTCTCCGAGCCCAGATGGGCTGAGACGTGTCCTGCCCCTTTAACTCCCCGGAGGCCAAGGGGTGGGGCAGGTAGCTCAGTAGGGCCCTGGCCTCTGGAGAAAACCAAGGCCTGCCCTGAACTCCCAAGCCAGGAGGGCCCTGAGGACCTTGCAGAGGTGGAGGACTGGCCCGGACTGCCGAACCCCTGCTCTGAAGAGGAGACCTTCTTTACCCTGCCTGAGGGTGCAGACTACGACGGCCCCGAGAACTGGCAGCCCGTGTGGGGCCAGGTAGCTACCAAGGGGGAGTTAGGAAGTAGCCCAGGGGAAGCCAACAACTGTCAGGCTAATCTTATAAAACTTTAGAGTGTGACAGCAAATTGTGGGCCGGATCCCCGCTGACCTCAGTGGCAGCCAGGGCTGCCACTGCTAGGGTCCTGGGCTGGGACGTAGTGGAGTAGAACATAGCTGTGTGTGCAGCACATTTCATTAGGGTGTGCACCCAAATAATTTTTTTTTAACAGTACTCTTTGACCCTCATTAGCTACACCTCCTGACCCCCATTAGCCACACCTCCTAACCCCCATTAGCCACGCCTCTGGAGGTAATACTTTCGGGTCAATATGGACACATTACCAGAAATAAAAGGTGTCATGTGACACACACACACCCGCTCCCCCCAAGGACTTTTCCCACCATCCTCTTACCAATAGGGATTAGTTTGGCCCTCACCAAACCCCCCTCATGCAACTATCCTGCAATTGCATTAACCCAGTGTGTGTGACATTAACTCTGGGGCAGAGAGGCTGGGGGAAGTGTTCCCTCTAAGAGTTTCCTCCCATGAGCACAATAAATGTTGTGTTATGCACCAGTACTGAGTTTGTGGCTTGTTTGGATGTGCCACTGTGGTACCCAAGTTATTAATAAGTATGGGTATGTCTGCACTGCCACCCTAGTTCGAACTAGGGTGGCTAATGTAGGCATTCAAAGTTGCGAATGAAGCCCGGGATTTAAATATCCTGGGCTTCATTTGCATCTTGCCGGGTGCCGCCATTTTTAAATCCCCCTTAGTGCGGACTC